AACTTCGTACCTTTTCCCTATTCCTTTCACTCAACTCAATAATAAATCCAATCAGAAATCATAAAGAAANAACGAATCTCTGTTCTCTGTCAACGAATAGTTTCAAATGAGTTGAACTATGTTCAACGAATCGACGTTGGTACCTTGTTGGTACCTTATAGTGTAACATAGGTAACATAGTGAAACGAACAACAAACATAGTGACACATAGTTCGACCAACTTCGTACCTTTTCCCTATTCCTTTCACTCAACTCAATAATAAATCCAATCAGAAATCATAAAGAAACCATAAGAGAAGCAAAGTTCACAGAAGGTTGGGAATAGAGTACGCCCGGTTCACCAGGTTCTACCACTGCAGGGCCCAATCATACTCAAAAGAAGAGTTTGATCCTGGCTCAGAAGGAACACTAGCTATATGCTTAACACATGCAAGTCGAACGTTGGTTTCGGGGAGCTGGGCATAAGGAAAATAGGCTCCTAGCTAAAGGTAGCTTGTCTCACCCAGGAGGTGAGAAGAGTTGAGAACAAAGTGGCGAACGAGTGCGTAACACGTGGGAATCTGCCGAACAGTTCGGGCCAAATCTTGAAGAAAGCTAAAAAGCGCTGTTTGATGAGCCTGCGTAGTATTAGGTAGTTGGTCAGGTAAACGCTGACCAAGCCAATGATGCTTAGCTGGTCTTTTCGGATGATCAGTCACACTGGGACTGAGACACGGCCCGGACTCCCACGGGGGGCAGCAGTGGGGAATCATGGACAATAGGCAAAAGCCCGATCCAGCAATATCGCGTGAGTGAAGAAGGGCAATGCCGCTTGTAAAGCTCTTTCGTCGAGTGCGCGATCATGACAGGACTCGAGGATGCAAAGTTCCTATGAAGAAGGTTAGAGAAATTGACATTCCTAAAACCGAAGAGGAATATACCGATGAAGATTGTAAGAAGATGGATCTTAACGCCAAGGCAATTAACATGATTTATTGCAGTATTAACGTGGATGACTACCGCAAGCTTTCACAGTGTGAAACCGCAAAACAAATGTAGGAAAAGTTAGAGGTCACCTACGAAGGAACCGCGCAGGTTCAGGATGCCAAAATTGACCAACTCACCCACGAGTACGAGTTCTTCTCGATGAAGCAAAACAAGAAGATAGAGGATATGTTTGAGAGATTCTCTAACATCATCAATCCTTCAAACATTCTCGGGAAAACATACACCGACTGAGAACTCGTGAGGAAGGTGTTGCGGCGCTTATCACCAAAATGGCATTCAAAGGTGGACACAATCGAAGAAGGTCGTGACTTCCAAATGACCACCTATGATTCTCTTCGAGGTAATCCGTTTGCACCGTTGCGATCGGAAAGTTAAACTCTATCCGACGATATAATTTTTATATTTATTTGTAATACTTTTTCTGTCATCATATTTTTGAGTGTTTGACTTTGACAGAGCCAAAATTGATTTAAATGACCTTTACTCATAAAGGTTCTTACATTCCATTCATATTATTTATTCTCATGATTTCTTCCAATAAATCATTTCAAAGTTCACATCACAAACAAATTCTTCATTTATAAGGTGCCTTTCATGAGAAAAAAATATATTCTACATGTTAAGTGAGGAAATAAATTGGGACGGAGGGAGTTATAAGGAAACTTCATTTTTAATAAGGTGCCTTTCATGAGAAAAATTATATTCTACATGCTAAGTGAGGAAATAAAATCAATTAAATAATGAAAGATAATTATCAAGAAGTGTATTATCAGAATAAACTAATCAATGGATAATGAATATACTTTTAATAGTAATTAAATAAATTTAATTACGAGTATATGATAAGTGTGAAAACATAACTTCAATTGTATTGTGAAATAAATTATTGAAATACCATGGGTACTATTATTATGATATATAATATCTCATTACAAAATTTGAACCTTAATAGAATCTTTGAGTGTATTCCTTATTAAATATTTAAGGAAATTATAGTTATTAGAAAAAACTTATGGAATACTAAAACATAAAGTTTACCTTATTTAGACATTCCTTGTATACTATTGAGATTTATAAAGAAGTTACACCTTCGTTCCCATGACATTGGGAACCAATGTCGTGGGATGACCCGAGGGCGCTCCGGTGCCCCGTTCGTAAAATTGACGGTTCCTACCTCCCCTAACCTCCCGGTAAACCCCCCACCCAACCCCGACCCGAACACACCCCCCCACCCCCTTCAATTGTACCCCACAAGTCGATTTTGACTATGGAGTCAAAATTTGACTCCATAGTCAAAATCGACTTGTGGGGTACAATTGAAGGGGGTGGAGGGTGTGTTCGGGTCGGGGTTGGGTGGGGGTTTTACCGGGGGAGGGGTTAGGGGGGGTAGGAACCGTCAATTTTACGAACGGGGCACCGGAGCGCCCCCGGGTCATCCCATGACATTGGTTCCCAATGTCATGGGAACCTTCCCAAGAAGTTATTTTGTTTACAAAACTTTTTTCCTTTAAGTAGGTGATACACATTCCTTATTTGATTAAAGAAATCTATTGTTGATTAAAATTTTTATCTATAATGAAAAATATTTAAATAAATTAAATAATGAAAAAATTTATTAAATTAAATCACCCTAAATAGAAGTAAAACATAAATAAAGTAGCAAAATAGGATATTCATATTTTTAAATTAAATTATACTATGAAATACATGATTAATCATTAACTAGTTTCACTATAAGAAACATACATAAGATATTCAAGTAAAATAAAAAGCCAATTTATTAAGGGATTTTCTCCCATGCCTCTTTATTTGAGAGGGCATGGATGCCCTTCCACTATTATTTTGACACGTGGATTATTTTGCATCTAAGTTTATGAGCATTAATTTTCTCAATTATATTCAAAAAAATCCTTCGTCCTTTTCTCATTCTATTTTTTCTTAAGCTTAAGTTATTTCTTGTTTTATAGAATTTTAATTTCGAGATCAAAATATATAGTTTTTATTTTGCATCGATAAATATTTAAATAAATAAGAACTAAATTCATTTAATCATAACATAAACAAATATGAATCTTTTGGAGGTTAAGAAAGTATCCTTTTTTAAAGAAAGAAATCTTATTTATTCATTCATTGATTGTAAATGATGTGAAAAAAAAGACTCCATCTCAATTACGCATATTTGAAGATGGTTGACAGAAATAGTCCAAAAAGAAGATCAATTACACGGGTTTGAAAAAGGCTCAGGAGGATAAATGTCTGATAGTGAGATGATCTCGCGGGTTGTAAAAAAATTGCTAAATCAGCATGTCACATGTCAAAATTCAGTGAGTTCAACTCTCAAATTTTATACTTCCCGTCGCACAATCGATTACAATATTGACTATTCTAAAAACATGATAATTTTTGTTTGTTTATGTATTTTTATTGATTATTTGATAAAATAAAATATTTTTGATTGATTTTGTAAAATTTTTGAAGTAATTTTTAAATATGTAAGTTTGTTTTTTATTTATGTTTCCATTTTTATGGATTAAATAAAAAAAATTTAAAATTTTTCATTATTCTCCCGTCTCCATAATTGGTAACAAAGAGTATATAAGAACATTCAGAATGATAAGGTAATGTCTTGCTTTGTTTAGCTATGTCAGCAAATATCACTCAAATTATGGTATTCCACCACACTTTTCATTCTATGTGTAAGACATAATTTTCTAATTTTATATTTTTTAATATTTTTAATATTTTTAATATTTTTACTATTTGAAAAAAAACTATTTTCTAAAAGAAGTATACATATTTTAATAATAAAATAGATGTGTAAAATAATTTTTGATAATTAAAAATCATTAAAAAGTGCAAAAATAGGCAAAAACAATAATTTGTCAGTGTATGTTATGATACTCCACTAATTTGTCATACGATGCTAGATTACTTCGTATTTTTTATTTATTAAAACACCAATGTTTCCAAGACATTGGAACTCTCATAACATTGGGTTACAATTTCATGGGATGACTCGGGGGCGCTCTGGTGCCCCATTCGTAAAAATGACAATTCCTACCCCCAAACCCCCGGTAAATCCCCCTACCCCGCCCCGACCCGAACACACCCCCTACCCCCGTCAATTGCACCACACAAGTTGATTTTGACTATGAAGTCAAATTTTGACTCCAAAGTCAAAATCAACTTGTGGGTAGTAATTGACGGGGTGGGGGGGTGTGTTCGGGTCGGGGCATGGGTGGGGGGTTTACCGGGAGGTTAGGGAGATAAAAACCGTCAATTTTACGAACAGGGCATCGGAGCACCCCTAGATCATTCTACGACATTAAAACCCAATGTCATGAGATTAATCGTTGTCAATCGTTTGAGTTTTGACATCTCATTTTTGTGGGGGGAGTAAAATGTGTTCCCGTCCAGTATGGGTGAGCAAGTACCAAACCGATACCGAAATTTTCTGAAAAAACCGAGAATACCGAACTAAAAAATATCGAACCGAAAAAGTACCGAGAAGAAACCGAACCGAATGGTCGGTACGGTATTCGGGAATGGTACGAGGTGACGTCCCATACCGAAAATCCCGTACCGAACATATATACTAAAATATTATAAAAATACTACCCCGTAGTAATATTTTTATATTCTTTTACTAAGTAAGAATGTTTCAGAAAAAATGGTTCAAGTTCTATGATGTGGAAATTATGCTTTTATTTGAGTTTTAATTTTTTTGTATGAACATAAAAGTATTCGCAAAGATTCGAAATACTCTTTTGTTGTTATTTATTTTTTTAGTTTGTGAAATATAAGCTAAGTTTTGATACGCATCTCATGAAATTTAAATATTCATTTTTTTTTAATTTTTCATATTTTTTTATTTAAAATTACTTTTAATTTTCAAAGATAAAGGGGTATTGTTAAATATTAACGGGTAAAGTAGGCATTTATATTTATTCCGATTTGTATCGATACCGAACCATCCCGAACCATACCGAACCGATATTTCGGGATCGGAATCAGTACGGAACAAAATCTTATACCGAACCAAAATATTTGGTAAGGTATCGGTACGAGCTAAATACCATACCATGCTCACCCCTGCCTTCAGCTTAAAATCTACCAGTTTGATTAGGTTATTGTGGGGAGTAAAATGTGTGTTTTCTCGGGTTAAAACAAATATGGAGTAAAACCTGAGCAACACTCTATAAATTCCGTCTTGAGCTTCGGAATTCTCTCCGCACAATGGACAGAAATCGCGACGTTGCATTTACATTCAACTCTGTCAAGCTCCCTCTACGACCATGTCCTCCACGGTCCAGCACCCCCAACCATCTACTCTCAAACATCCACCTTGCTCTCTGCAAACTTCCCAAGTTCCCAAATCCATTTGCCCCAAACATCAATCCCCAAAGCGCACTCGATAAATTTCTGGAACTCACATTTCAAAAACCCCTCAAGAGCTTCAATTCCAACAAAAAATCTCCGCTTCTCTGCTGCTCGTCGCTGTCCTTGACATCGGAAACTGACGCCGTCTCGGTGGTGAATCAGAAGGTGCCGCCAAAGAATGCCGGGGAGGAGAGGGTTCTGGTAAGCGAGGTGTTGGTGAGGAACAAGGACGGTACGGAGCTTGAGAGGAAGGATTTGGAGGCTGAAGCTCTCAATGCGCTCAAGGTTTGCCGACCCAACTCCGCCCTCACTGCCAGGGAGGTCGAGGAGGATGTGCATAGGGTATTTGGCAGTGGCTATTTCTGCTCTTGCATGCCCGTAGCGGTTGATACAAGAGACGGGATTCGGTTGATTTTTCAGGTACTTCTGGAAAGAATTTACTGCACTATAGGTGTACTCGTGATGAAGGTAAACACCTCATATGTAGTGGGGTAGATGTGGTGAATACTCGTTTATGGATGTATGCACTTCGCAATGTGCATAATTGTTAGGGCGAAATCGAGTACTACAAAATCTGCAATACAACAGATATATTTTTAATGTGCTTTTAAGACATAATAGATAATTGAGTACTTCTTAGTGTGCTTTTAAGACATTCACTTTGTATGCACATTCTTTCATCTGCAATTGTAGTTTAGACTCCCTCCAACGCAGAATAAGTTTCGTGGTTTGACTTGCTTATTAAGAATAGTGAAAATGTGGCTGAGAATCTTGAGATTTATTTAGATGAAAGACCAATAAAAGGAACTTGCTTTGTGGTTTTTCTGTGCCAGTAACTTTTCTTTTCTCCCCCTCTGGTATATGTTTTTCTCCTGTTTTAGATGGACTACTAATCTCTTCTTTGAGCAGGGGCCTTTTGGTCTTTCTACCTTTGGAGTTGGGGTAAGGTCTGCGTACACCTACCCTGCTTGTGGGCTTTTACTGGTCGTTGTTTTTGGTGTTGTATTAACAATAACCACTCAAATTTCTTCTTAGACGGAAAGATGAACCTTATTTTGGGATGGAGAAAAAACACTTGAACCTTATTTTAGCTGGATGGAGTATTTGATACTTGTCTTGTGATGTTTGTTTGCCTATAAATTACTCGCATTTGTAGTTTAATCTTTTGTTTATGATCAGTTTTTTCGATGACCGTTGTGTGATGCTATGGGAAAGTTCTAATCCTAAAATACAGAAAAGAGTAACCTTAAATGCTTCCTCAAAATTCTTGCTACTTCTTTTTAGTGAATTGCCTAATAGAGGGGGGAAGAAAATATTTGTTTACGTGTGGAGGCGGTGGTATTAATTCTTATATTAGTATCTGTTGTCATATTTCCACAAGGTAGAACCAAACCAGGAGTTTCGAGGCTTGGTTTGTGAAGGAGCCAATGTTCTTCCAACAAAGTTCGTAGAAAATGCCTTTCGCGATGGATATGGCAAGTCTTTCTTTCTATATTTTATGCATTTACACAGGGATGGCAACAGTTAGGGTACCATAGCTAGTCAGTATTTCCATCTCAAACGCGTTAAAAGACCCTATTTAGATCTCAAATTCCAAACCTTTCTGGTGATCCTGAGTCCCATACTGAGTCTGATTGGCATTGCTTATTTATTAAAGAATAAGCAATGAGAAACACGCATTAAATTGATGCTTCCCACAGTAAGTCAATCAGCTGAAATAATAAACCATGTAAATAGTGATTTGAGAAGCAACAATCAGTTCCCAATCACAATTTCAAACATAGCCATTACACTTAACCTGTTGCCATCCTCACATTCACTCATCTACTTGTGATTAGTTATGTTAAGAAAGCTTGTATATTATCTTATTAGCTACTCCGTATTTTAGTTTCATGCTTATGTCAGGCCATTTATGTTGTCAAGTGGTGCAGGGAAAATTGTGAACATTAGACATGTAGATAAAGTGATTAACTCAATTAATGGCTGGTACATGGATCGGGGCCTCATTGGCATGGTTAGTTCTTGACCTCCTGTTACACCCATGATCCTGAATGGGATCCATGTAGACTTACTTTGTCCTTAATTATTTCCCCCCTGTTTTTTCTTCTTTTCTTTAGGTGTCTGGTATTGATCTTCTTTCAGGAGGTATAATTAAGTTACAAGTTTCAGAAGCTGAGATCAATAACACAAGCATACGTTTCCTTGATAGGACGTAAGAATCTGATAGTGTCTATNCAATTAATGGCTGGTACATGGATCGGGGCCTCATTGGCATGGTTAGTTCTTGACCTCCTGTTACACCCATGATCCTGAATGGGATCCATGTAGACTTACTTTGTCCTTAATTATTTCCCCCCTGTTTTTTCTTCTTTTCTTTAGGTGTCTGGTATTGATCTTCTTTCAGGAGGTATAATTAAGTTACAAGTTTCAGAAGCTGAGATCAATAACACAAGCATACGTTTCCTTGATAGGACGTAAGAATCTGATAGTGTCTATATTTACGTGAAGAATGCTACCTTTGGTTATTTCTTGTATACTATGCATTTTTTAAACCAGGGGCGAGCCAGCAGTTGGAAAAACAAAACCTGAAACTATACTTCGGCAACTTACAACCAAGAAAGGGCAGGTACATGTTTTGCCGGGCCCCATTTATTTTCACTATATTAAATATTAATTATGTTATGCTAAATGGCTCATTACCATTTAGGTGTATAGTGCGCTTCAGGGGAAAAGAGATGTAGAGACTGTGCTTGCAATGGGAACTATGGAAGATGTTAGCATCATTCCCCAACCTGTTGGAGGTAGTCTGTTTATAGCATTGGATCATGAACATTGCAATTGTCGTTAACTTTCAGATTAACATTTTTATATGTAGCAGATACTAAAAAGGTTGATTTGACTATGAATCTTGTTGAGCGTAAAAGTGCTAAAGGCATAACTGCTGGTGGCGGAATTTCAAGTGGGTATGTGATGTATTTGACTGAATACCTTCTACTCCCTCCGTCCCAAATTATTTGCCACATTTGTATTTCCGAGGCAAAATATCAAGTTTTTCAATTTATTTTATTTACATATTGGTATAGAAATAAAAAAATAAAATTTACATATAAAAAAACTACATGAAAAGTTCTTCGAAATAAGAGGTGTCAAGAATATTTTATTTTATCAAATAACCAATGAAAACGTAGAAATAAACAAAAGTTCCCGCGACTGCTGAAAAAGCAAACGTTGCAAATAATTTGGGATTGAGGGAGTATTATTGAATACACTTTGTTTAGATCTATTAACATATCCATCTTTCAAGTGTATAGGATAACGAATGGGCCTCTTGCTGGATTAATTGGAAGGTAATTTCTGTCAAGCTATTTTGCCATTGTGCTACATTACCGTTTACACTATTTTTAATTCGTAGCAAGTTTTCATCGATAATGTGACTCGTGAGTGGTTCTTAACATCCAAGGATTGAATGCTCAAAGGTTACACTGTATTCCATTTATGTACTGTTAGCATGACATTCCTTTAGCTTCAATATACATTATGAGCAATTAATACCTGCATTTCTGTGTTTACTGTCCATGAAGCTTTGCTCCACATTTTGTGTCTGCTGAGCATTTCTTATAGCTAGCTTGGCCCAGAAAAATACATCCTGAAAACTTTTTGAAAAAGAATCTTCTTAAAAGATAGGCATTTTTCTTGCAAGCACATTGGAAAAAGAATGATCATTTCTCCAATGTTAGGTTTGAAGATATTTTGATGATAATCTGTAATGAGAATGTAGGGGAATAGTCTAGATGCGTTGCATAATATTAACAAAGTGCAACCAAATTTAGAATTAGGCCTTCATTTCTTCATTCCATGTGCTATTTAGGTGTTTCTCAATTGATTTAATGCTATCATGCATATTTTCCCTCACATGCGCATCTTTCTGGTTTCCACTGCACTTCCAGAGTCCTGGACAGTTACTAATCTGTATACTGGGAAACCCTTAAGATTGGGAAAAATTCTATATAAGAAAACAGTAAAATGAAACCTTGCAGACAGTGAAAAAGTCCAGGAAACAGAAAAGGAGCCGAGTTATCCTCTCTGGTACCAGACTTGTTAATTAAATTTAAACTGGGTTTTGAACATTCTTTACATTTGTTATGCTTCTAGGGATCCATGCTTGCAATCATCTAGGCAGCCTTTTCTAAAGTGATTTTTCATTCAGATATTGGATTCCTATCTCTTTCCTTGTATGCACTTGCATGCTTGCACTACCAGTATTTAGTTCAACTGTTCAAGTGTTCAACCAGTTTTACTAGCACGGCAATGTTCATGACATTTTTTGAATGCAGTCTTGCCATTTACCATAAAAATCTCTTTGGGAGAAACCAAAAGCTTAATTTATCACTAGAAAGGGGGCAGATTGATTCGATATATAGGATAAATTACACAGACCCATGGATTGAAGGGGATGATAAAAGAACATCAAGATCAATTATGGTTCAGGTACTATATGACCGAATGCTATATTTGCCATTCAAATCATTTCAAATTAATTTGGAATTTTTTTTGTTGTGCCTAGAACTCAAGAGCACCTGGCACACTTGTTCACGGGAACCAACCAGATCATAGTAGTCTTACAATAGGCCGTGTAACAGCTGGGATAGAATACAGCCGTCCATTCCGGCCAAAGTGGAATGGAACTTGTGGCCTTTTTTTCCAGGTACTCTATAGATGTATACTCCACCTGCCCCTCTGACCCTTGTTTATCGTCACACATTTTCCATCCATCCCAAGATTATCTCATTTTTTAGAAAATGGTTGTGGTTGATATTGTTTCTCTCTTTTAAAGACAACAATCAAACAATTTCTACTTAATATTGTCTGCCAAGTCTATTGTGGAGGATCATATAGCAATGGGGAATTTACCTAAATAGCACTAAAACATAGTGATTTTTCCAATGTAATACCATATATTTTTATTTCCCAATTTAGTATAACTGTTCAATGTCCACTGGTCATTGTTCAAGTAAATGTCCACCACCGTTGGACATTATTCCCACCACTAGACATTATTCAAGTACTATTTAAGGAATGAAAAAGTTTAAGTACTACATTGGGAAATGACATATGGGGTCTTGTCACTTCAGTCTTTAATAGATTGTCAGTTTTTCTTTTTACTCCCCCCGCCCATCTTTTTGTTCATTTTTAAGGGTCAAACTATACCTTTCTTCCTTACGTATTCCCATTGATCATTTGATAAAATCATTTATTCATGTCACCTCTTTTTTGTAGAACTCTTGATGTAGTTCTTAAGTAAATAATTTTATTTTTAATTCTACACTAATTTTCTATTAAATGGAATTAAAATTGATTTCAATCAAACATTTTAAACCACAACTTCTTTTAGGGGCAGAGGGAGTATTGAACTTTCTTTTTGTCGTATTCTTTGAAAATTATTCCATTGTTCCTAGTAGTGATGTGTTAATCATCTTCCTGTCAGGTTTAGTGGTTAGTGCAGTGTGAATATAATTGCGGGTACTAGTCACACCATTTACTAAATACACGTAGTGCATTTAAAACTATGATAATGACACCCCAGTTTTTGACATTGGATACCTTTTTTTATTGTGCAATTTCTTCAAATTGAGTAATTGAAACCCATGTAAATTCTACATAAAGAATGCACAATTGAAAAAAATTGTGTTAAATAATTGCTTTGGGATTGATGAATTCCATGAAATTCTGAGTCTTGATTCGTCCTTTTATTATGAATGAATGTGCAAAGCTCTTGAAAGTTGAGACTCTTTCGAGGATCAGAGCGTGCTTATTTGAAGTTTGATAAGCTTTTTCATGGGGTTGGGTTTTTCCGCAGTGGGCACATGATATGGTGGGGGGGGGGGCGAGAAGAAGGGCATGGTGGCTGGCAATTGTGCTCGTGGTGTTGGGGGACAGGGGGAGTAAGTGGAAGGATCAGGGATGATAGGGAAGAAGGTGATGAAGTGGAGGAATCAAAGGTGAGTGCAGGAGTAAGGGCAAGGTTATCAGGGTGGGAAGGAAGAGTGGTTTGTACACGAGAGTAACTTTAACCCTTGAGCCAAACATATTTTTATAGATCGATTGATGCGGGTGATTGGTTTATTTCTACTTTCTTTTTGAAATCCTTCTACAACAAGCTATTTCACTGACCCTTAGGTCATTAAAAAAACAGTATTCCATGTTTGAATTTGCCCTTGAGTTCTGACATATTTGTTTTTCTGGTTGCAAACTTTTAGCGTGTTGGTGCTCGTGATGATAAGGGGAAACCTATTACACGGGACTTCTATAGCAGCCCCCTTACTGCAAGGTAAATGTTTGATAAATGCTCTTATTGTCACTTTTCCTTGTACATTAATTTGTTTATCACTTTTGTTTTTGGGGGAGGGGACTGGGAATTATGCATCCAATTGTGCTTTCATTTCTAATTGCTCTACAGTGGCAACACACATGACGATATGTTACTTGCTAAACTGGAGACCGTGTATACTGGTTCTGGAGACCCTGGTTCTTCAATGGTTGGTTTTTGTAATTACTTCACCATGGTCATTTGCTCAAAGTTGTGGTGGCCATAGCCATGATATATTCTTCTTGTGTTTGTTTTCTTTTCTGTAGCTGGCTTTCAACATTGACCAAGGGCTTCCCGTTTCCCCAGAGTGGCTAGTTTTTAATAGAGTTAATGCTCGTGCTTTGAAGGGCTTAGCTGTTGGTCCGTTTCGTCTCCTTTTAAGGTATTTCTTTGTGCAATCAGGTGTTTTGTTTCAAACTGGAGATATATATATATATATACACACACATATAGCCAAATGGATTGTTGGACCATCTTTAGCTCTTTTTGTGCAGTTTGTCTGGTGGTCATGTTGTGGGTAAGTTTCCTCCCCATGAAGCGTTTGCTATTGGTGGATCCAATAGTGTTAGAGGGTATGAAGATGGTGCAGTCGGCTCAGGTCGGTCATATGCGGTTGGCTGTGGAGAAATTTCATTTCCCCTGGTAAGTGAAGACAACTTTGTCCTTCACTACCATACAAATCTATGGTTGATGAGAGCCCATATGATATGCCCTTTGTTGACATAATGATTTATCTCTTATTTAATGTTCCAGAAGGGGCCAGTAGAGGGTGTGGTATTTGCGGATTACGGGACAGATCTTGGTTCTGGCTCAAGTGTTCCCGGTATGTAATTGGCTATTTCCTATTCGCATCTGATTTTTTTTTGTTCTTTGGGACTTTGGAGGCAAAAAAAAACCAAGCACATCGACAACTTAATGTGACAAACGTTGTCGTATTTAACCAGGCGATCCTGCTGGGGCGAGGCTAAAACCTGGGAGTGGGTATGGTGCTGGGGTCGGGATTCGTGTGGCCTCTCCTTTGGGGCCGTTAAGACTTGAATATGCCTTTAATGACAAGGGTGTTGGGAGATTTCACTTCGCACTTGGTCTTCGCAACTGAGAATGAACTCCCATTTCAGACTTTAGGCTACGCTCGTGCCTTGTTAATAATTTCTTCATTTGTCCTTACACTCCTTAGCATTTCATTTGATTGTTGTTATTATTATTATTATTATTAATATTATTATTAATATTATCATCATCATCAAATAACATCAAATGCTCTAAAAAACGAGGACATGACTATATGATTTAATATACGATTAACGAAACAAGTAGAGAAAATAAGCTGATGTGTCGCAAATCTTATGGACGGTTGGAGCACTACTTTAATGGGTAAATTTGGGAAAAAATTACTCTTTTTGTACAAAATTTATCTTCTCATTGTATTCTATGATGTATGACTAAAGGTATTTTCAAATGATTTTATGTGAAAAAATGGTGTGAAATCAAGTTATTTTGCGTGCTACAATATTTGGCTTGAGCAAAAATACATATTAAAAAATTACAGTATATTAATTGATTTACAAAATTATAGGTGATATAATTATATTATTTGATTAAACTAGCAATAAAAATACTAAAATAGGCCAATAAAGTGAACAATGTTTGATTCTATAAATAGAGAATGAAAAAATATTTTTTTGGATGGGAGTAGTTTCTAGTGACGAAGTTTTCTCGTAGGAATTCATAATAGAAATTTCTCATAGGGGTGTGTTGAAAAAACAAAAAAATAGAACTGAAATCGATCGAAACAAGTTAGGAAAAAAAATTCAATTGAAAAAATCAAAATTGAATGTAAAAATTTGAACTGATTAGTGAAAAAACTTTATGTATATTAATATATGTGATATGCGAAAAAAATCATAGAATTATAAATACAAATAACTAATTAGGGGTGGGCAAAAAAACCGAACTAGCATGGTACCGTACCGGACCGTAATGGTACCGAACTGTTTATAGTGTTTTCAAACGGGATTGATTTTTTTCATCACGAACTGAAACCGAACCGATACCAAATGGGACGGGACCGTGATACAAATATTTAAAACCGATTATCACGGACCGAACCGCCAAAGCTATATACAGAGTACATATCTCAAATAATTATGGAGTATGTGTCTACTTCATCTTACCGTGTATAGAGTACTTCGTATTTTATTATTCATTTTTAAACTCTCTCATTATTATTGTTGTTATTATATTTATTATTACTATTAACATTATTTTTTTATAGTTATTAGTATTCCGATATTATATGAATTGGAAAAAAAATTATTTTTTAACTTTAGACTCGTTATCTTTTATTTCTTTATGTTTATGTTTCATTTAAATTCGAGGTCAATACTTTTATTTAATATTCTTGTGCTTTTTTTATACATATTTATACATTAAATTCAATATTCTTTACGTAATGTACGTTCATTTTTTTTGGCACGGTTTGAGCATGGGTATGGTATTGTACCGTTCCGTTTCAAAACGGAATGGTTCGAATGGTTTTGGAGTTCATCCCGTACCGATACCGAACCGTTTAAATAATAGCGGTCCGTGATAGGTTCCGGTGGTATCACGGACCATCACGGACCGCGCCCACCCCTATAACTAATTAGTCAATTTAAATGATTTTTTCTTAACTTTTAAATATTTTAAATCATATTATAAACTAAAAAAAACCTAGAAAATTTAAAGTTTATGTATATTAATATCTATGATATGCGAAAAAAATCATAGAATTATAAATACAAATAACTGATTAGTCAATTTAAATGATTTTTTCATAACTTTTAAATATTTTAAATCATATTATAAACTTTAAAAAAACCTAGAAATTTAAACACTAAAGACTAATCTACAAACAAAATTATATTAAATGCAACTTTTACAAACCCAGGTAGATCTAAAGAGGAACACTAATGATGGGATGCTCATTGAGGAGGAAAGGAAGCTGATACAATTGCTGTAATCTAAATTGAAAGCACTTCCCATGTGTCATGGACTGAAACCATTGCAAGGTATGAGACTTGTCCTACATCGGTTGTATGGGCAATTGATGTAGGGGTTATAGGCCAAATGGGTTCCCTCACACTAGTCTTTTGGGTTGAGTTCTTCCATTTAGTCTGTAACAGTGGTATCAGAGCCAACCTCGGAGTGGTGGCCCACGGAGTGGTGGCCTGGACCAACGTGGCCGTGACCAACGAGGACGTTGGTCCTTAAGGAGGGGCGAAAGTTATGGACTGAAACCATTGCAAGGTATGGGACTTGTCCCACATCGTCTGTATGAGCAATTGATGTGGGGTTTATAGGTCAAATGGGTTCCCTCGCCTATCAGACTAGTCTTTTGGGTTGAGTTCTTCCATTTGGTTTGTAACACCATGTTACTTAACCAAGTATGTAAAGTGGAATGGATTCAGAAAGAGGATCAAAACTCAAAATTGTTTTATTCCTAGATAAAGAAAAGTAAGATCCATAATCAGATATTAACAATGAAAAACAAAGAAGGTATTGTGGTTGAAGGTGACAAAAAAGTGCAAAAAATTGCTGTCACGTACCCTCTATTTTGGAATAAAGATTCGGAGGTCCCATTTTTTTAAAAATGATCTTATTGCACCATTTGTGACTGAGGAGGGAACTTCCGTCCATTGCACCGTTTATGGTTTGATTTGTCTATTATACCCCTTGTTTTTACCCAAAAAAGACAGACAACTTCCAGAGTCTTTCTCATTCTTCGAAAGAAAGAAAGATTCAATTCCTCTTTTGGCTTCCTATCAAGATTGGCTTTCTTAAAAGGTGTGAATGGTACGTGTTGGGTTCGATTCTACTCATGGTTATCAAATATCTAGGGTTTATCATATTTCTCTTGGATTTTACTTAACAATATGAATCTAGGGTTTTTAATTTCAATTTAATTCTACTGAACATGAATGAAAGGTTTCACTTATTAAAATTGATTTTGTTTTATCAACCTTATATTGTTCTATCAAAGTCCTGATTGTTTTATACTTATTCTTATGAGTTTATAAATGTATATACTTAGCATATGCTGTTATATATACTTTAGGCTCCAACAGGATTTAGGGTGTATTTGAAACATAAATGCATTGTGATTGAAGATATTGATTTGGATATTTACTTCACCAAAGATTTGTTCGAGGATGTCATTTCCAAAGTCAAAGAACAGAATATANGGTAGTTGCTTGTAATTATCTTCCCTTATTTGTAGTTGAGTTACAAGAGCCTAGTGCATTACAAAAAATGGCAGAGGAACTTGATGTTACTATCCAAAATTTTAAGGAGCCTAGTACTAGTGAAGTTGAGCTTTGGGCTAACAATTTGCTTGTAACACCAACAAACTCTAATCAGACTTTTGAAAGTGAAGTAAATGGGGGTAATAAATCTAAATTAAATGTGAGGAGGCAAATGAGTAGGGCAATTGAAGTGCTGTCTTAGATCCTGAGGTTCCATCCATTACTAATTCCTCTCCACACCTCTCACCCACAAGTACAGAACCTGATAGAAGCACTAGAATGATGTCACACATAAAAAGAAGAAAAAGAAGCTTGTGGGGGGAGGTAGTAAAGTAATTGAGAGGACTGAGTTCAATGTAAACCTCTTGGCTAAAGAATTAAAAGGTGTAGAAGCTTATGACATTCCTGCCTTAAGCAATCCCCAAGTTCCTCCCCTAGAACTTTTTTTTGAGGAGCCCGTGGCCGGGGGTATTTGATGATGATAAAGGATCATAAGAAGATGAAGAAGAAGACTATGATTTTACAGGGAGTGAGGAGGAGTGTTTGAGTAGTGAGGAAGTTTCCTTGGACGAAGAGTCAGAAATGGAGGATGATTTTGATCTTGATGCTGACACTGCCCATAAAATGATGCTGAGTAATGAGGAAGAAAATGAAGATGGGAGTGGCAAATAGTCTATTGTTGAGAAAATGGCTAAGATGTTTAGGAGTGGGAGGCTATGGATGAGAAGTACTCATCAAATGAGATCCAATCAAAACAGATGCAATTAGATCAGATTAGACCAAATCTAAAAAATAAATATTATTATTACTATTATTATTATTATTTGTTGGACAAGGCGTGCAACTCTAGGGGGGGTGAATAGAGTTGTTGAGAATGATTACTGATTTTCACAGGATAAAAAATATAAACGTAAGTGCAGCGGAAATAAAAAAGAGAAGCCAAAGAACACATCGATGTATACTGGTTCACCACCTCGTGTCTAGTCCAGTTCCCCAAGAGACTCTCTCAAAGCTACCACTACTTCCGTTAAGCTCACGGGTGCTTAACAAACCGTTTACAACTCGAGAACTTGAATCTCACAAGCCTTGACACAAATGCTCGTAGATGTACCCTCTACAAGACTTATTACTCAAGACTTAAGTCACATAAGCCTTATACAACAAGAAGAACAATCTTCTTCAACCTCTCAACAATAACTCTCACAAGAGTAGAAATGATAAAAGATTAAGCTCTATGGATGACAAGACCACTCTCTTGAAAACACTTAGTTTTCTCTCAAAATATATCAATTTGAGGAAGGAATGAATGGAGGATTATAATCTCAAGATCGGGGAAGTTTAGAAGTGCTTGTTCATTCTAAAAATGACCAAGGAAAGGAGTTTATAAAGGGGTTGAAGGAATTTATCCGCCGCTTAGAAAAAAGAGTTTGCTGAAAAAAAGCAGCATAAAAATCGATTAGTGCACCATGATAATTGATTAATGCAGTCTGTTCAAAATCCTTCAGCGGACGAAATGATAATCGATTTTTGCCAAAGTGTAAAAATCGATTTTTGAAGCAATTATGCCCAAACAAGGACACAATCATGTGTGCAAGGAGAAGTGCTATTTTGGAAATTAGCACTTGTTTAGGACATAAAAAATCAAATCAAAAGGCTCCCCAATCAACAAATATAATTCAAATTCAAAATTTGAATTATGAGAAAATAGTTTTGGTGTAGAAAATGAGTCCCAAAAATATTTTGTGTGTCAAACGATGAACACGAAAATATTTGAATAAAATATTTTTGCTTTCCAAAAATATTTTCTAATATCAAAATAAATATTTTGATAAATTTTTGACACACCTTTGGTAACTGACTCAATAAATGTATTTTGAACAGTTAAAAGGATTTTTCAACTGACTCAAAAAAATATATTATTTTTATATTTACCCTCATAAAAATAATATTTGGAGAGAAGATATTTTTGTCATCCTTACAATAATTCCTATGACTCAAACAAATAAAAAGTCTTCGGAAATCTTCTACTCTTTCGAGTCCTCCGTTAGGCGCTCCAAACGCGTCTCGGACTCCAATAAAATCCTGTGCACCTTCTTGAATACTTCAAGGAATGACACTTCAAGTTTTCGTGTTTGTCGTTGTAGCACTTTGATCTTGACTTGAATAAATTGTGTTTGTTAATTATCAAAACATGTGAGTCAATACTTGACAACACAGAAAGGGTTGAAGTCATGCATTCCAACATTATTATTATTATTACCATTATAATTAGTATTATTATTACTCTTACCAATTACTATTACTATTACTATTAATATTAATATTATAATTATAATTATTATTACTATTATTATTACAATTAATATTAATAATAATAATATTATTATTATTACTATTATTATTACTACTATTGTTATTACTATTATTATTATTAATATTAATAGTATTACTATTACTATTACTATTACTATTGTTGTTATTATTTCTATTATTATTATTATTATTAATGTTATTATTATTATTACTATTATTATTATTATTTATATTATTATTATAATTACTATTATTATTATTATTATTTCTATTATTATTATTTTCTATTACTATTATTATTATTAATATTATGACTATAATTAATATTACTATTGTTAATATAATTATTACTATTATTATTATTTTTATTAATATTATAATTAGTATTATTATTATTATCATTGTTACTAACATTATTATTACTATTACTAATGGAATATGCTAAAGTCACAAACTTACCTTTTGTAGATTATAAATTAAAATATCTTTTATTATTTAGGTGCATCTTATTCCTTGGAAAATTTTAAAAAGACAAGTTTGTGAGCTGTTTGTTTGTGGGGCAAATAGCTCTGACGCCTCCTGTGGTTTGGAAAATTGGCACCAATACCCCCTCTATTTTTAAAACTTATTTCTAAAGTCCCCGTGGTTTCAAAACATTGCACCCACACCCCTGTGATCATTTTCCGGCGAAGAGGGGGGAATTGACGCATAAATTTTAAACCATAGGGGGCATTCGTGCTCATTTCTTATTTTCGTTTATTATTCTTCCCTAGTTCCCTTTTTAAATATTTTCTATCTCTTTTTCCTTTTCCTAGATTTTTTAAAGATATATTTTCAATTTTAAATAATGTTTCAAGAATTTTAAATTTCTTTGTGTTTGAAATAAAAAATTAACATACATTACATCTATCTCAAATTAAACATTTTCACTTTTTGTTACTTAGAATAATTTTTTGAAAAGTTCAAAAAAGCCTAGAATAAAAAAAATTAAATATGGAAAATCGAAATGAAAAAATTAAAATACGGAAAAAAGTCTTATACAGAAAAAAAATTGGACACTCCTAAAAAAGTCCTAAGAATTGAGATGTCCAAAAAGTATATTCATTTTTATTTTTGTATTATCTTGTTTCTTATTTTATTCCTCATTTTTTTGAAGTTCTAAAAAACTTACTTTTTATTCTGGAAGAACAAAATTTGTTAATTTGAGACGTGCATATGCATTATATGTTAATTTTTTCAAACAAAAATAACTTTAAATTTAAGAACATTATAAAAATATTTTTAAAAAACCTTTATTAATAAATGAAACAAAAAAAAAGAAAAATGTAAAAAAAATTGCGAGAAATAAAAATCAGCATTGATATCCCCTATGGTTCAAAAAATATGCACCGATGCCCCCCTTCTTTGCCAGAAAAATGACCAGAAATTGATAAGACGGGCATGAGTGCAGCCTTTTAAAACCACAAGGACTTTAGAAATGAGTTTTGAAAACAGAGGGCATATTGGTGCCTATTTTGCAAACCATGAGGGATACCAGCACTATTTGGCCTTTGTTTTGTGACTATAACATTACTTATTACTATTACTATTTTTATTATTATTATTTCTATTATTATTATTACTATTATTATTATTATTCCTTTTACTCCCTCTGCCCCCAAATATTTGTTCAGTTTTGACTTTTGGAACTGTTCATCTAAGCACTTTAACTCATCAAATTCTCTCAATGTGTAAATAAAAATATAGTCATGTGTGATCTTGTTTGATTTATCTTAACATATAGATTATTAATATATAATTTCTATAATTTTTTAATATACAAATTACAAGATAAAATAGATTAAAGAAGTTCATTTGATGGTGTGTAAAAATGAAAGTGGACAAATACGGAGGGAGTATTATAAATATTTTTATTGTTATTTCTATTATTATTATTATTGCTATTATAATTAGTATTATTATTATTATAGTTATTATTATTACTATTGTAATTGCTATTATCATTACTATTACTATTAATATTTACTCCCTCCATCCCTCAGTTTTTGTCCACTTTTGACTTTTGGAAATGTTCATCTAAGCACTTTAACTCGTCAAATTCTCTCAATGTGTAAGCCTAAATATAGTCATGTGTGATCTTGTTTGATTCGTCTTAATATATAACTTATTAATATATAATTTCTATAATTTTTTAATATACAAATTACTAGATAAAATGGATTAAAGAAGTGTATTGGATGGTGTGCAAAAATGAAAGTGGACAAATACTCATGGACGGAGGGAGTATATTTTTATTTTTATTAGTACTATTATTATTAATATTTATATTATTACTATTATTATAACTATTATAATAGTAAATTTAATTTTAATTTTAATCAAATTTATATCAGATTAGATTCAATCGGATAAAATTTAATTTTAATTTTTATTTTTAATGTGACTAACAAAATGCAACCTTAATTGGCTTCCTAATAAGGCTATCCATTTTGCTTAGTCCAAAGACACTCCAATATTTCACATCTACTTCTGGAAATTGTATCCAAATGGGAACATCAGACGGCTCCTGAGTGTTAATCTTCTTACTAGGTATCCATTGGTGTACTAGGATAGGTTTATTATAAAAAATAAGTAGTGTATTTCCGTTTGATAGTTTCCTCCACATCTTCCTCACTCTAATACGGAGTATATGACTATAAACCGTCCTTTTAACACAGTCACATCATCAATGGGAAAAGTTTTCCAAATTCTACTCCCAAACCCTTTTAGCACTTCATGCGGTGGGTTTGCTCCAAGGTAGAGCAAACACTTAAAGATTTCCAATAATAATTCAGTTCAATGACATCATCTTTTGTGAATTTAGCAACCAGATTACCATTTACCTCAGATGAAGGAATGAATTGTAATTTCGTCTCCGTATCAGCTTGACCAGCTACAACTGCAACAAATGTTTGAGTTATGCCTTCCTCTTCCGAGATCACATCTTCCTTAATCGGAGTACTCTGCGGTGTAGGCGTAGAAATTCTACCTTCTGAATTATCCGTTCCTTTCCTACTCTCCAATGTTTCACTCTTAGACATAGAAACGCTTGCTGGTTCCTTGCTCGGCGTCGTCTTCGTCCTAGGTCTTCCTCATCGTCGTGACATTGCTAGAGAGAGAAAAACCCTTTATTTCTCCTATTACTTCATTTCATATATGATACTTCGTTTTTACAATTAAACTTTATATAAGATAAAATTTTAAAGTACAATACATTTCGTTGAGCAAAATTTTCTTAAATTATACTACGTAGATAGCATTGAAATTTATAAATAATGTTGTGATAAATTGGACTTACATGAAATATATCCAAATCTAATTTTCTAGCATTCATGCATAGCTAATTTAATAATTTTGTTTCATTATTATGATTATATGCTAAATATTTGTACACCATTTTTTCCTTCTAAGTAATTAAGCCAATTATATCGTTTATTCAGGTGTACTTATTGGTTAAATTTTAAATATGTATATGTCAAATGTACAATAAGTATTACCTCTGTACGATAAAATTATTTTTAGCAAATCATCCTAAATAGGACTAAAACATAGAAAAAAGTACCAAAATAGGACTTTCATGTTTTTTTTCCGGAATAGGACTTTGCACTGTGGTAATGTGACTTTGCATTGTGATAATGTGGCAGTGTACATGTGCAAATTACTATATTTTCTTGGTAATGTATATGACCATGTTTGGTAATGTAAGTCCTATTTCGGGAATAAAAAATAGAAATCCTATTTTGGTATATTTTCAATGTTATAGTCCTACTTTGGTCTTTCTCCCAATTATTTTACATTTGACCTTCAAAAAGTTTAAAAAAGCATTGAAAAGTTTAAAGAATAAAATTAAATATTTTTGAACAAAAAATGAGAGAATAAAAAGGTTGCAGGAGAAAAAAATGGATTATTTATGTCAATTTTTTCTTTCAAATTAAGATTAATAAAATATTACTTAATCTTACTATTTTCACAAAATGAATTGACAACATACAAATTAATTACAAAAATTAAACAATTGTTGTGAAAAGGTAAGGTGTAAGGAAAACTAATAAATAGTGTGAGTCACATAAAGATCAATAAATACGGTTAGAAACAAAAAATAGTGTTATAGAAATAAACTTTTTTAAATTAATGGTGTATAGTTTATTTTTAAAAAAATTTAAAATTTTAGAACATAACATTTTTTTTATTTTACTATATTTTGTTAACACTTTTCAACTCTTTCTAATTTTTTCCAACTATTCAAGTTTTTCCCATCCTTTCTAATTTCTTGGATAACATGTTCCATGTTTCCACTTTCCCAGATAGAGGGTGAAATATAATGACAAGACCACAAAGATAAAATCTATACACGAGAGAGGGACCAAATTCTGAATAGAAATCTCTGATACTGTCATGATGCTTTTCATTTCCTTTTTCTCTATACAAAGCTCACACACCACTTAATATTTTAAGAACCCGTTTGGTGAACACAAAAGATATAAATTATGATATCTGAAAATATGAGAACCCATTCACGCTTGTTTTGTGAAGTCTAAAACATGGTTCAAGTATGATATACTCCGTATGTCCATATCACAACCCTCTCGAATGAACCATGTTCACTCACCAAACAGGCCCCTAAACGTCAATATATTGAAATCTACTGTGCCCTTTACTTTAAATGTCGAGGATCAATTGTCATAATTCATACAAATGTCTGATTGGTTTGTGTGTGTGTGTGTGTGTGTGTGTTTGTGTAGCGAAATCATATATCACTGATTTTACAATAACAGTTTGTCCAGTTTATCTTCATGTAAATACTGCTGCTCATAAGGACAGATACCTCAGGAGGTTAAAAATCAGCACAGAATATCCATCCGGCTACAAGCTCATATCCTCCGGTAAGCTGGCCTGAAGGAAATATAGGCTGCTCATAAACAAAAAAACAACACACATAATCAGAGTGGCTAAACCGGTTTTCAAATTCAAATTAAAAAAAAAATAGAATCTCCAAACAAATAGTATGATTTGCCTTTGAAGTAAGTTGTCAATGATGAAATGGGGGAGTGTATAGACACACACACACACTCACACACTCACACACACACACACACACACACACACACACACATATATATATATTAAAAGGGGACTTTTATTAAGAAAAAAACCAAGGATTACAACGAAAAGGAATCTAGGACCACAATGTTACCTAGATCCTTGAAAGGGGAGTAAACCCAAGCTAAGGACATTAGATTTAAAAAGGAAAGTTGTATTGATATTGTTTGCCCAAAACCATCCTTGAGTCAGCTTGTTTATGGAGAGGACTAGTGAGTTCAACGATGGTCTGCCATTGTCATAGAGGCACTTGTTGTAGAGTTTCCAGATTGTCCAGCAAATAAAACCCGGTAGCAGGAGGCGTAGGTTCCCTTTTATGCTTCCTTTATTTGAGGATAACCACCAGCTGAGCATTACTTGTTGTAGCATGGGGTTTCCCTTCACAGTTGGAGCGCTAACATCCGTTGAGTAGACATTCCAGATGGTTGAGATCAGCTTGCATTTGAGGAAGAGATGCTGTTCACTCATGTTCATATCCATGCAGAAAGGGCACGGTGTATTGGTGATGATGTGCATTCGTTGTAGGTTGTTTGGGAAGGGAAGTAAGTTGTTGAATAGACGCCAAAGGAAAATGCTGATCTTACCCATTTGTCTCTTATCCCAGATATAGACACAAGTGGCCTGTTTTGGCTGATGATCATAGGTAAGTGAGTATGCCTTCTTGAAAGTGTAAGTCCCAAAGTTCCATTCAGCACCATCTGTGGAGAGCCTGCAGTGAGGAAAAATTAGTGGAGTGGTTTTACATATGGATTTCCAAGTGTAGGAGTCATAAGGCTTTGGAGAGAAAAGACCATCTCTCAGGTATTTATGTTTCATGTATCTGCTCCAAATAGTATTCCCCTGGATCATTTTCCACCATAGGTCAATGAAAGCTGCATCCTGGCTTAGTGTTAAATTTCTTATCCCCAGTCCTCCTTCCACAAAGGGAAAACACATCTTGTCCCATCTCCTCCAGTGGTATTTGGGTCCCTCTTCCTTTTCCCCCCAGAAGAAATTTGCCATTTGCCTTTTAAGAATTTTTGTTATGGACTTGGGTATTCTTTGGGCAGCCATAAGGTGTAAAGGGATTGAGGATAGCACGTGCTTGATAAGAATAAGCCTCTCCATTTGGTTTAGCTTCTTACTATACCAAGCATTTATCCTCTTCTCAAACTTTTCAACCAAGTCCTTGCAGTGTATCTTCTTTAGCTTTCCTTTTACAATGGTAGATCCAAGGTAGTTAAACGCTTTGGTACTACATTTGATAGAAAGGATTTTTTTGATCTTGTATTGGTGTTCTGGCTTCATTTTTTCATGGACAATAACTTGACTCTTGTTATAGTTGATCTCCTGTCCTGAGGCCTGCATAAAACTTCCAAGTATCTTCTTTAGCCTAAGGAGATTTCTGCATTCAGCTTTGGTGAAAAGAATGATGTCATCTGCATAGAGAAGGTGGCTTGGGGTGGGTGTTCTCCCAGCAGAGAAGTGTGAGAGCATCCTGAGTGAATGATGATAATTGATGGATCTGGATAGCCCTTCCAAGGCTATAATGAAAAGTAGGGGGGATAGGGGATCACCTTGCTTTACTCCACATTTCATGGGGAAAAAACCCTTTGGTTGACCATTTATAAGCACTGAGAAATGTGTTGCCTTCAGATTTCCCATGAGCAGGTGTATGGTATGCTGAGAGAAACCAAATTTGGAAAGGATTCCCTCCAAGTAATTCCATGAGAGCTTATCAAAAGCTTTAGAGAGGTCCAACTTGATAATGCAGTTCCCTCCTCTTGCATTTGAAGAGAGTAAGTGAACCATCTCTTTTGTCATGAGGACATGATCAGTAATGTTCTTCCCAACCTGAAAAGCAGCCTGTTCCTGGGAGATAATCTTGGGAAGGATCAATTTTAGTCTGTCACTCAGAATCCTGGAAATAATCTTACTGAAAAAAGTTGATAGGGAGATAGGCCTGAACTGGTCCAGGGTGATGGCTGCTTCATTTTTAGGGATGAGGGTTATGAGTGTGCTGCCAAAGGCTTTAGGCATAGGGACACCTATGAAGAATTCTTGAACAGCCATGCACACATCAGTTTTGATAGTGTCCCAAGAGTTCCTGAAAAAGAAGCCATTAAACTCATCAGATCCTGCTGTGCTATTGGCATTTAAGGACCAAATGGTTCTTTTAATTTCTTCCTCAGCTGGGATGCTCCTGAGCAAAGTGTTATCTTGATCAGATACACAAGAAGGAATAAGATTTAGGATTTCTCTCATATCCCCTTCATGTATTGAGGAGAAAACCTCTGTGTAGTGTTCCACTGTTATCCTTGCTATCACATCAAAAGTGGTATGGATGTTTCCTCCCCCATCCTTTAAAGAGGAGATATGTAGTCTGTGCCTTCTCCCCCTTACATAGGAGTGGAAAAAAGAAGTAGAAGCATCCCCTTGAGAGATCCATTTGATGTTAGCCTTTTGGGCCCAAAAGCATTCCTCTTTTTTCAAAGCTTGCTGCAGAAGGGCTGTAGCTAGCTTGAACTCCATGAGGTTTTTTTTCAGACTCATCCATTTCAAGGATGGCTTCTGCCTTTTCTGCCCTATCTTGTGCCTTAGACACTTCCTCAAAAAGATTTCTAAAAGTTTCCTTATTCCATTTGATGAGTGTTTTTTTGAGGTTAGAGAGTTTCATAGCAAGGCCTCTCATACCCCCACCCTGATAGTTTTTATCCCAAGAGGAAATGATCAAATCATTGTATGATTTATGGGAACTCCAAATATTGAGAAATTTAAAAGGTTTTGGGCCTGAGATTTGGTTAAGGAGGAGTTTGAGAAGCAATGGCCTGTGATCAGAGTTCCCTCTACCAAGGTGTTTCACCTCAATGACCTGGAAAAGATTCATACAATCTTCATTTACCAGGATTCTGTCAAGTCTTATACAAACTCTTCCTTTACCCCTTTTTCCAAACCAGGTGAATTGGCTGCCCAAAAAGGTGGGGGAAATGAGCTCACAATCAGAGATGGTGCTATTAAAATCTGCCATACTACCAAGGTCTGGACAAACTGCCCCTTTGTGTTCAGTAATAGAAGATACTGTATTGAAATCTCCCCCAATTGGGCCTTGGATAGGAAAGAGGTTTCTTAAAGAGACCCAAAGTCTTTCTCTATCGAGTCTACAATGCTTTCCATATACACTGGAAATCCAATAGTGGTTGAGGACTCAAGGTGCTTAAAACAGCATGTTAGAACCTGCTCTTCCTCAATGATGGCCTGAAGTGAGAGGGCACTGTCATTCCAGAAAAACCAAAGTTTGTTGTTTAGAGCATGAAAACCTTTCGAGAGTCCAAGTTTCATTCTGTACCACTCCAATTTATTTGGTTCAACCAGGGGTTCCAAAAGAGAAAGAAAATGAAAGTTGGATTTTTTTAGGAGAGAGCTGAGACGAGGAAGAGAAATATGTACACCTCTCAAATTCCAAAAGAGTCCAATCATGGGGAAAAAAGGGGGGGAGAAGAGTTACTTGATTGAGATCATGTGTCTGGTGATCATGGCATGGTTTCTTTCTTTTGTTTTGGAACTGGGAGCTTTGGACTTGCTTAGGGTTTCCTTGCCAACTGAAGGGGGTGGCAAAGGTGGGAACTCCTCTATAGCAAGTAGATAATCCAGGTGTTGAATATTTTCATCAATTTCTTTTGCTTCAGTAAAGAACCCAACTTCCGGTGGTTCATCTTCAGGGAGAGAGAGGAACTGATTCTCCTGGAAAGGGACAATAGCTAGAGAGTTGTCCACAAGTTGCTGGGAATCACTGATGATGGGGCCCTAAGCACATTTTCATGCACATGATGTAAAGTGAGAGTTGATAGGATAGAAGGGTCCGTAATGCAGTAGGTCCCATTTTTCCCAACCTTTTCAACAAGTGGTGGGGTGGGTGAAACAGGTATCACTATAGGGTTTTTGGAGGATTCACCTAAACCTTCTACCCAAGTTGCATTAGTTTTCTTGGGGTGTTCAGAAAAATCAGTTTTCCTGGCCCGCCACTCAAGATTGTCAGTCACCTTGGCCTTGCCTTTTTTGGATGTTACTACTTGCCATTTTCCAGTGTGTTTGTGTTCCTGTGAAACCAGGGCCTCTTTCTCCGGTGGTTCAGCCCTTTTCCGATCAGAGTTTTTTGCCATGCACGCTTCCCTCTGGTGACCTGTTCTCCTACAATCCTTACAGTAGGAGGGAACATTCTCATAGATGAAGGAAAAAATGAGTTCCTCACCACCATGATTAATCAAGACCTTTGGAGGAGGGAGGTTGGAAATATCAACTTCCACACAGCATTCAGCCAAAGCAGGCCTGGAGAAATTTAAAGTACAAGAGTCGACCTGTAAGGGGGTACCAATGGTAGATGCAATAAGATGGAGAGCTCTCCTATCATGAAGATGAATGGGGAGGTCAGGGAAAGCTATCCAGATAGGCATCACCGGATTTTCAGATTCTTGCAACAGAGAGGGGCTCCATTTGGTGAGGGTCATGAAGAAACCAAAAACCTGCCAAGTCCTTCTTAGGAAGAGGCGCAGGTAGTCTTCCTCTGAACTAAAATTTAGAAGAAAGCGTTGATGAGGAAGAACTGATATGTCCACTCTACCCTTTAGACCAAGTCTTTGAAAAAATGTGTGCATAGAGGAAAAAGAAGGCCGTTTCTGAAATTTGCCCACAAGCGCCAGTTTGAACCTGGATGCAAGCTCCGATATGTCATCTTGGGTGAATGAGACCGAGGGAATTCCTTTGAAACGTCCTGTTGATCAGCCTTCTAGACGTTTGCCCGTGTAGCTGGATGAAACAACCTCAGAGAATAATCTATTATTGGTTTCCGGTGGTTTTCCGGTCACCGGAGATTTAGAGAGAGAAGCCTTCCTGAAAAAATGATATATTAACGGTGCATTTTTCTTGGCTATCCCACCCATCAACGCGGTTACCGCTGCTTAGATCTTCAAACTAACAAAATAATCGTCTCGCGTCATGTTACTTTTGATGAAAATATTTTTCCTTACGAACATCACCCTTCTGCTGATGGTTTTAACTTCCTTGACACCACGGAGGACGCCCCACCCCACCCCACCCACCAACTCCCTCCCCACACCCCACCCACGGCCCGAAACAGCACCCCCACTCCTCCCCGTCTTTGG